TGCTAAAGGATTTTCCATTTTACCATCGGCTCCATAGACATGTACACGTGACCTAGGGTCAGCCTAGGTGGAGCCCTATACCAAATACTCAAATATTTAAAATCAGGACTCCAGCACTGCAAGACCACATCATTAAGCACTGAGCATCCTTGCCGTCCCCATTTGTTTTATAGAAAACAATAATAATACATTAGCTCTATAAAAGACAGATTTAATAACCTGAATTTCTGGATCTGTATTCGGCATATTGTTGTCTTATATTTAATGAAGGGGCTTTGCTAGGCCCTGGCACCCAAAGCACGTGCCCCAGGTATTCTATTGAGTACCCTGGGTCTACTTTGCAGAAATTGTTGTGGTCACCCCAAGAATGATCCTCCAGACCACGGGTAGCTAACCTTCGGCCCTCTAGCTGTGGTGAAACAACAATTCCCACCATGCTTTCCTCTGGGAGTCATGCCTGAGTCTTGTAATATCCATAAGGACTTTCACCACACCTGGAAGGCTGAAGTTTGGCTACATCTGCTCTAGACAAACACATAGAGGGTTATTCACAAAGCTGCCGAAGGCAGCCGAGTGAATAACCGACCCGAAGTGAAGTGAGCCGAATGCTGTTCGGCTATTTACTTCAGACTTGTACAGCTGATTTCATCTGGGTTGGCTGAGCCGAACCTCCGGTAGGCTACTCACTGCCGTTTGGCCTATTCTCATAGGGGCTGAATGGCAGTGAGTGACTAGCCGAATACCGGCTAGCTTTGTGAATAACCCTCATAAATTTTACTGAATTTTGGTTCATTGATTCTTTTTTTTTTAAGCATTTATGATGCATTTAATTTTTAATTTCAGCCATGTTGTCATATTTAGGACACTACGGTTAAGACTGGTACAGAGCAATTTTAATGACAATATTAGACCCAAATATAATCCAAAGAGTATAATCTCCAAATCCAAAATATCCAAATATCAGATCCAAAAATGTTTAAATACTAGTGAAAGACAATCCAAAGTTTCAGCTTATTTCTATGCAGCTTTCTGTGGAAGCACAATATGTGGCATTCCAAGAACTTTTTGTGGGTCTTTTGAAAGTTGGGGTTCCTTGGGCCATAGAACTTTTAGCAAGGAGGAAAGAGAATAGACCAGAGGGAGGAAAGGCAAAGGAGAGAGCAGGAATGATGTGAGGCAAAAGAGAAAGCATCATTAAAGTGTATGTGCAGCCACAACTTTCTCTTTTTTAATTTTGGATAGAGTATGGAAGGATAAAATCCCGTCAGGTTTTTTTTTTTTTGCTGTTTGTGTACTAGGGTGCCATCAGAAAATAATGGCCCCGCCAGCGCGATTGGTGGTGGTGGGTGATTCTGTGATCACACGGCCATCCGCGCGGCTTCGTGCACGATTGCCGTGCGGTCATGGATCGCCATAGTGTGAATCTAGCCTAAATCCTCACTTATTAAATACAGCAATATATTTTAGCAAATTAGGGTTTACTGCATTTTTTATTTTATCTGTTACTATTCATTTATCCTACTTTCATCACTCTCCTTTCTCTTTCTTTCTTTCTTTCTTTCTTTCTTTCTTTCTTTCTTTCTTCCTTTCTTTCTTTCTTTCTTTTTTTCTTTCTTTCTCTTAGTTATACACAGGGCTGATATGTTATAAATCAGCCCCATACTGTATATTAGAGAGTGAGAGAGAAAGAGTAAGTGATGTAGTGCGGAATCATGACCAATTTGTTCTATCTTTCTCTTTCTCCTTCCTCCCTTTTTTGCCCTTTCTTCTTTTCTGTGCCCTCTCTTCCTTCCTCCTTTTTTTCCTTTCTTTCTTTCTTTCTTCCTTCCTTTTTTCCTTTCTTTGTTTACTTCCCCTTCCTTCCTTCTTTTGCAATATACAGTATGGGACTAAGTTATACGCTGGGCCAACATGTTATAAATCAGCCCCATACTGTATATTACAGAGTGAGAGAGAAAGAAAGAATACGTGATGTGGTGAGGTATCATGACCAGTTCTTTCTTTCTTTCTTTCTTTCTTTCTTTCTTTCTTTCTTTCTTTCTTTCTTTCTTTCTTTCTTTCTTTCTTTCTTTCTCATTCTCTAATATATAGTATGGGACTGAGTTTTACACTTGGTGAATGTATTATAAATTAGCGCCATACTGTATATTAGAGAGAGAAAGAAAGGGTAAGTGATGAACTTGAAATCATGAACATTTCATTTCTTTCTTTGTTTCTTTCTTTGTTTCTTTGTTTCTTTCCTTCTTTGTTTCTTTCCTTCTTTCTTTCTTATATAATGCATTTGCCCAGCAAATAAATCAGCGCCATGCTGTATATTAGAGAGTAAGAAAAAAGAAAGAAGTAGCAAGTGCTGGAGTCAGAGAAAAATAGAAGGATAGAAGAGGGTGAAGTTGATATGAGAGATAGAGATAGATAGATAGACCTGCTGTAATTACATATGATTGCTCACGTAAGAGCTCAATCAATATTCTGCCCACAAACACCCAACATTTGTTAAGCTCGGTGGATTATGATACTTGGCAAGTGCCAGCTCAAGCTGGAGAATTTCCCCCTGGCTCCCGGCTGACTGGGCTGCAATCAACAACGTGATATGATATATACAAGTGATAGATTACTCCATCCTATAAATACATTTTAAAGCCTCTAATTATATCCATTTGTTTACTTAACAACCCCGACACAGCATGATCCAAACTCAACAAATTAGGCGGTGGAGGTAAATGATGTGGATGGGGAGGGAGGTGGATTGATTCGCAATCAGTTGAATAATTGTCTGCTATTAGGGTGTCTGATTTTTACTTTTTGTCTTAAAGGGACTTTCGTGGCGGAGAAGGACAAAGTGGTGTATGGCCTGACCCATCCCATAAACACATTTGAGCCGTTTTTGGTGCAGGTAAGAATGTTAATTGAAATTGCCGAAGAGCAGATTAATTCCTTTGGCTGTCAGAGGGGTACCAATGAACAGTGATCTCTAGGAAGATATAAATGTTGCAAATTCATTAGACATGTGAGATTCGTTTCATTCCGAATCAAAATTTGGACGAATTTTCCGAAAATTCGTACATTCAGACTCATCCGGATTTAATAATCCCAATGTATCCGAATTCAAATTTCCGTTTCTGAATTTCTTATCCCTTCCGAATTTCGTTCAAAAACTAAACTGAATCGGACATGTGACTTTTCTGGCCAATCAGATGTGTTTTTTGGTTTAATGCATCCAGATGGGTCTGAACACGAATTTTCATTTCGGCAACATGGGAGCCATATACAGTATATACATATAATACTAAAGCTGAGACCCAAATGGAATTCGGGATCCAAATTTCTGAATTGCATTCCAGAGCTCATGAATGTCATTAGGGTCTGGGAGCCATATACATATAATACTAAAGCTGAGACTCCCAGACCCAAATGACATTCTGGATCGGAAATTCGGATCCTGAATGCCATTCGGGTCTGGGAGCCTCAGCTTTAGTATTAATATCTGTAGATGGTTTTCTGTTTTACTCGCAACGAATATTCGTAAACTCATCCGAAACTAGCGAAATTTGGATTTCGTCCAAATCCGAAACCCGAACCTTATTGAATTTCGGATCCGAATACCGAATTTCGAAATAACAAAATACCCAAACCTAATCGAACCAAATTTTTTCGCAGCTTACATGTCTAAAATTCATACAGCTCTAGATTTATATTCATTAAGAAATCATATAATGTATTTTATTTTTTTGCAAGCGGTGTTGGTACCTTGGACCTGGTATTAGATTTTTTGTAGTCCCTGTATGGTAGAGCTCAGACTGGTAGATGAAAAAAAAAAAGCAATTGTGTTGCAGTGCTCCTGTTCTAACAAGCAACATGCTGATAGTAGAGAACTAAGTGACCGAGAAATGGGCTTATCAGTCTGCTGCTTTTCCTTTCTCTGCCCAGTCACAGGCTAGGGGAGGGACAAGACCTGTAAGTGCTTCTTAATTGCAACAGATCAAAATCAGGTCTTCTACCCTGACAGAGAGGGCTGTGTTGTCTGACTCTCAGGACTGATTTCTATGGCAGATAAAACAGCCCTTATATATATATTTAATTGTTGCATTTAGCTTCTTCTCCAGGTTTTAGCTTTAAAAGGTCCTTTTGGCTGGACTTTAGGGCCATCCAAGTGCTGGGGAATTTAGCCTTATGTACTGAGCAGATTACCCCTACCATTGTGCACCCCCCCTTGCCAGTTGGTCCTTTTCTCAGCGGATGCCTGTGGGCTGGCTCCGTTCCAACAGCGCCATTCCCAACCTCTCTCAGAATTTCTCAGATACTTTCTAAAAGCTTAGCCAACCGCCGCCAGTCACATGACCAGACGCCATTAATCAGTATCCACAGCCTTTACTTACAACATACAAGTGCTCCCGCTCTGTGTATATAACACGTCGGCCAATCTTAATTATCCATTACAGCCTCTCAGATGAGCCTAAGTTTGTCTCTATTCATCACCTTCCCCAATGCTTGGAGAGCTGGTTGAAAAACAGGGTCATTGCCTTGTAAATTGGCTCATTAAGTTTGGGGAATGTGATGAATTGCACCTCATGTTCACTTTCTGTTCTATATGGCTGCTGTTAATAAACAGTGCTGGCCTTACAGAACTCAGCTGCTGATTTTTTATGTGCTTTCCCATGCAAGAAATGGACGCAGGACTTGTTTTTGCTCTGTTACATTAAAGGAAAAGGCCTGCACCCAAAAATGGTTCATTATAGAAGAAAATAAGCATAGATGAAGAATATGTTATCCCGAAATGTCATGTTGGGATGTTTTAGTTTATTGTCTCGTTATCGCAATAAAAATGGCAGCATGATTGCATGTCAGGTCTTTCAGCAAATAGGCAAAAGCTTGCAGATTTTATCACTTTTTTATAAATTTTTAGTAACTATGAAATATTTATTAATTATTACCGGGAATTTATATAGTGTTGACACTTTACATACTGCACATTCACATCAGTCCCTGCATTTAAGGAGCTGACAAAGGTCCCTATCCCTATACCTACATGGTGTTACATACCAGGTGGAGGCCGAGCAATACGGGGGCTTCCCTTGCATGTCCTGTCCAGCATCCTTGGAGTTGGGACAAAGTAAGCTGGGACTCGGGGAAGCACAACCCAGATAGCAAGCAATTGAGCTGCTAGTTTGAAAATGACTTGCTAAACTATTGCAGACTTGCCAAGCTTCACAATTTTGTTGCACAATTACAGCAAGTCTGCATTGCAAGTCTCCAGACCAGCGAGCTTGCAGAGCTCTTGCTAAGACCTGCAGGACTCTTGCTGTAGACGTGCCAAGCACATTTGCTACAAATTCAAAACGTGTCAACTAGAACTTGTGTTGTAAGTGTTCTGCAAGTCTACAACTTGCCAGGAATATGTGCAGCAAGTTAACACAAATTACAATTTCACCCTGCTACAAGTTTGTAGCATGTTATCCTTGCTATCTGGGAAGTGCATGTAGCTGGTTCAGATGCAGCAGGGCCAAATGCAAGCCGAAGGTCAATCACAGCCGGGCAAAGCAGGTACACAGGGAGTAAGCCAGGGAGGAAGTCCTGAAGCAAGCCAAGCTCATCCACAGGCAAGCAGAGAAGGTACAAAACAGCAACCGGGAAGCAAAGTCAGGATGCAAGGCCGGAGAATGGACACAGGTCAGGTCACAGGAAGCAGAAGCTGAGGCTCACTCAGCAACTTCCCTAGATGAAACTGGTTTAAATAGGCAGTCCTTGCCAAATTAAGCTAAGGCACCTGTGCAATAACTATGTCATCCCAGGCCCAAAGGTTTAGGCCTATTAATGTGAGCAAAGTCTATGTGCATTTGTGCATTTGCCTTTCCATAGGTGCGTGCTTGATCATGGGCACATGCATGTCTTTGAGTGTGGACACACACCTAATTTTCTTGATACATGGGCTGATTTAGACATGAGCCAAGTAACCTACCAGCTTGTGTTTGACGTTATAGCATAAAAGTGGTGGTCTTGGTTGGTTTACTTAAAAGAGATCTATGAGGTGTATGACTTACACTAATTCTTATAGTTAGAGCCTACGTGTGACAATGAAACTGTGACATGTCGACGCTTTAGATCAGGAAGTCAGCGAACACATACCATCACTCGCTCACTTCCTGATCATCTCCCTGCAGAGAGCGGTGACTGTCAGTCACCGCTGCCCGCATGGATTCCCCACCTTCCTGCTCCGATCCTCCAGTGCTGACTGGAGGAACAGATGGGAGAGAGGGTGGGCACAGCTGGCTCTGCCTCTAGAGAGGCAGAGCACGCTGTCAATCAGCCAGCTGGGTGGATCTCGACAGTAATGTCGAGATCCCTCCTGGCTCCGGCGCACTCCGGCAATAGCCCGCTATACACTAAGCTTTGGGTCATGGGAGGAGGTTAGTATACATCTTCTCATGACTGTAAAGTAAACTATGGTATAAAAAGGTTAACCCCATAGTTCTCTTTTAATGTGGAATTCCTCCCTTTTGCACAACATCCCCCTTAAAGCTCCTTCCCCCTTCTCTTTTTTAATTTTTATTTTTTTAAACCCAATACATACCTTTTTCTCTGAAGTCTTCCAGCCATTCTACAGCTTCCCCCTCTCCCTTTGTGTAGCGGCAGGGGGTAAATGGACATTCCAAGAATGAATAGCACTCATGTAATGGCATCATTGTATGAGCACTGCTCAGTCGTGGAGTGCTGTGAACCCAGCCTATGTGATGACGTGCCTCCTAGGGGGCATGTAAATGGCCAAAGAGGAAATGGGTTGAATGACACGAGTAAAGAGGATTGCTGGCACTGAACTGAGGTCGAAGCCACGGACAATGCTGGAGCTTGGAGAGGATAGGTAGAAAATGGCAAGGGGATTGTTTAATATGACATGGGGTATGTAAATGAAATAGGACTTGCTTCCCCCCAGGAATAGGGCATACTTGTAATTACTCATAAGTCTAATTAATACCAAATATAAATGAATTAGTTATGATAAACTATCTCTTTAAATGAAGTCATTCTCCGTGGTAGTCATAGAAGATCAATTTTGGTCTAGTAGAACACATAAAAATCATGTTGAAGAGTACATTAAATGATTAAAACTGATTACATGAACGGTAACAGATAAAATACATGAAACAATCATTTGTTAAAATGTCTTGCTGTAATTAATAAGCGAGGATATGGCTTCCAGAGTCTGTTTAGGCTCAGAAGGGAAAACATTTGATCAGCTGAATACATTGTAACAACCCTCAGGGATGGAATAAGATACAATGTGGTTTTTCTACGTAGCATACGTGATGAACTACATTTACTGTTGCCCAAACCAACAAATCAGTTTCCAACTTCAGAGTTCAAAAAAACAAGCAAGGATTCTGATTGGATGGTAAGGTAATCAAAAATGTTCTTGTTAGCATTCTTTTTGTATATACTGTAAATCTCAACGTAACTATATAACAGTAATAACCCCCAAAAAGGACAGCAGGGGGGCCTGGGGTCAGTGCTTGTCACAAACCCGGCTGAAATGCCAGATAACAGGAGATCAAGCCCAATCCTGGGCTTGATCGCCTGTATTGGAGGGCAGGGGAAACATCAGGAGTCTAATAGACCCCTGGTGTCTCTATAAAGAGAAACTTTGTCATGCCTGATGAAGGGACCCTGAGTGGCCATGAAATGTTGCTTTATAATGAGATGTGTGTACATCAATAAAATGACCACTCGTTGAAGATTTTACTTTGGTGTGCTGGTGATATATTTTACTACATAAAGAAAACCTGTCACATTCAAATGCTGTCACATATGGGCTTGTGATAGCAAAAGTTAAGTGAAAAAAATTTTTTTTTGTTTTTTTAAAGAAAAGTATGGCAATACAAGCTGTTTTAATTTTTTTTTTATTATTTTATCTTTTGACAATATTTTTTTTACTGTAGTTTTTTTAATTATGCCGGCTCTTGTACTCCGCAGTGAGTGATCTGCATCTGTATGGCAGTCCCAATTTAATATCTGCATCTTTTCCTTTTCTAGCTGCAGCACCTCATCTACATTTGGAAGACGTTCTGGAGCACTCCAGGCTTCTTCGACAAACTCTCTGTGATATTTAAAGGTCCAGGATGGGGACCTGGAAAACCTCGTCTCGGCCTTCCTGAGGAACTTCCAGAGGTAAACCATGCAAAGCCTAAATCATGCCAGTGATGACAGATGAAAGCAGATGAGACCGCTCGAGGAAGTCCAAAGACAATACGTTTGGTGGGGCAGCTGACAGATTTGCTGCCAAGTTAAATTAGTACCACAGCGCTGAATACTGAAAAATGGCCTGGATGGGAAGGGGGTTTAACACCGCGGATGTCAACTGGTTAAGAAAAAAAACAAGTATAGTTGCCTTGACTTATTTTTTTACAGATATCTAAACTCATTGATTTGCAGATGAGGTTCACGTACCTTTGCACATATAGTGCAGGAGTGATGATCAGGTGTCCACATACTTTTGCCATATAGTGAATTTCTATGTACTAAGTAAAGCACTGAAGATTTTTTCAATGCTTTAGGAATAAAAATGATGATGATGATGATGATGATGATGATGATTGATATTTTTGCAGGTTACTGGAAATGAAAAACCTTATAGCCCCAAACTATCCAAAGCTTTACAAATCTACTCATCCATACACTTTATTCTCCTTCTTGCGATCTATCAACACATGTTTGAAGCTAAGCAAGTAAGTAATGTCCTATAGCTATGCCACAAACGTAAAGCTTTTTCAACCAATATACTGTATATGTCTCCTGGAAAGTCTTCTTACATTAAAAATGTAACAATAGATACCATAGGCATGGATGAGCAAAGTGGGTTTGCTGAAACTGACCACCACAATATTGACTCTTTTCAAAGTTTCAGTCACATTAGCCTCATATTTTGCCATGTGGACTTCTTAGGCATACTTTTGGGTAAAGTTGTGTGAATACCAAGTCAGCATTGTTGATAGACAATGCCATGTCAATGTATTTCTTTCTAAGTACACTCTATATGCACCTAGACAGATACAATCTTCTTAATGAAGATATCACCCAGTTAAAAAAAAAGGGAAAACATAAGTTCAAAAAAATTACTTTTTGAAATTAAAATAAAAAACACTTTTGTCCATTTATATTTAAAGGTTTGGAGTTAGGGTTCTACTGCTCCTCAAAAGCTAATGTCCCCAGCTAATGAAGGGCCATTTTTCTGGCACATAATTTGGCCCAGGATAGTTCCCCAAACCTCAAGAACCATAAAAAGAATTCTTAAAAAAACTCTAAAAACACCCTAAAGTGAAACTCCTTTTCTAGTTTCCACCCCACCCACCACCATGACTAATAATCGCTGCTCAATTCAGGTATACTGTCAGCCCAGGCTGTGTCATGACTCTCCCCAATAAGCCTCGGTCCACTACCTGTGGGGCAGAGCTACTTGGGAGAGTCATGATGGAGACTCGCCCACGATAGCCTTGGCTCACTGGAAGTGATTTGGAGGATGCTGGCTGTCATTCATACCAGCAGACGATCGGTAGTAGACCACGGATTGGCAAGTCTGTGGCAGAAGGTGCCAGAGAAAAAGTGAGTTTTGGAGCCAAAAGTGTGCAGTAGCAATGTTTTCATTCTCCTGGACACCGATGCCTTTCACCAAAAAGGGAAGTTTTAGTGTAGTGATAACTAGTTTTCATTCAAACATCGCTAGCAGTTCAGATCCCTCACTGAGATTGATGGATAATGAGAATGATTGTCCCCAATGGATCACTTACCACCAGAACCCACTGCAATTTTTGGTTTCTTACATACGTTGTCCCCATCAGGAGTCTTGGTTCCACCCAACCACTGTATCCTATACAAATTCAAATGATTGTCCTGATGTAAGAGAGTGACACCTTCTTTATGGCCTTATGTGAGCGGCAGAGGGGCATGTCTATGGGCACATTTCACCACTGACATTTTAGAAGATACACATTTTTCTTAGGTGCTTTGACCCACCAGTCAAAATAATAGCCGAACAGTGTTCGGCTCACTTCACTTCTGATCGGTCATTCACTCGGCTGCCCTTGGCAGCTTTGTGAATAGACCCCAAGGAGGCTTATGTATGAAGCGTATGTTTTTGGAAAGCCAGGTTTTAACAACAAGGATTCTGTGGGCAACAACACATTTTCTTAATGATGTACTTTCATAAATAAGCCCCAAGGTGGTAAGTGCAAAGTCAATATATATCTACCAAGGAGGATGCAGAAGAAGAGGGGCAAATTACTGTATAAGAACAATCCCCCCCCCCTTTTATCAATACAACCCTACTATTCAGCAAATAAAACCTAACTGAAACCCACAGAGGTCTCATATTGCATACGTTGGTCTACAGACCATAGTTGGGTGCAACAGTAGATGGCTTAGCGCAACACTATCGTGTGAATGGGTCCTAAGACCTATAACAGTTAAAAGTTATGTTAATTCTTATCTGTGATATTAAACTGCTGAACTTGTTTTGTTATGATATACACAACCAACTCCAGGATCAATCAATCAAATCACATGACCAATGCCAAAGAGTTAGACATATGGTCTTTGCTGAAAGGGCACCACATGTGAGCTATTCCATGCATCTGTCTAATGTCTGTCCAACAGAAAAGCTGAAAACCAACCTGATGCCAGGATCAAATGTGTCCTAAACAAGCTAACAAGTTCAGCCAGGGGTGTAACTACAGATCACGGGGCCCTATAGCAAAAAATGTGATGAGGTGGCCCCCGTCAGCTGTGACTAACGACACCAAGATTTCATAGACTCCTCTTGTGCATCTGCGTCGGCTTTCCTACACTATTATTTCTTCTTTTTTTTTTCACTTAACTTTATTGCAATCACACAGGAGCTAGCTAACAAGCCCCTGTGTGATAGCATTTGGAGGTGACAGGTTCTCTATATTGACCCTGTCACCTCCAATACAGGAGTTCTAGCACAGCGCTGTGCTGGAACTCCTGTGACAGGTGAGACGGGAAGAGCACAGCACAGCTCTCGCCTCTCACTGTGTACAGTCTACACGGGGCGGCAGGGTTACTTTTAACCCTGCCGCTCTGCTCCCCACATCGACGGCAAGTGAGGAGAGACTCGGCGGCCGGAACCAGAGGACAGAGGTAAGAGAGGGGGGAGGGGGGGAGGACAAACAGGCTGCACAGATTTTACAAGTGATTGCGGCGACATCGCCGCGATCACCTGTAAATGTACGAGCGGATTCCCCACAAGGCAACTTACCCGCCCGGCGCCCTGATCTGTATGTTCCGGGCGTCGGGGGACTCCACACCGCTGCCGCCCCGAGGCCGGGCCTCGGTGGCCTTGTGGGAAATCCGGGCCTGATTATCGTACGATAATAGCGGGAAATCCCTTGATTGTACGATAATCGGCAGGTGTATGGAAGGCGTGCGACCGTTTCTACTGTACGGTCACACGTCTTTTGTCTAACGGGCATGTTTGAAAACCAGCCGAGAATTGTAGGATTGTCGCACACTGCCCATTCAGCATTGCAGTCATCGGAAGCCCGCCCCTCAGGGGGCGTGGCTTGCGATGATCGCAAGTATGATCTGCCTGTTCAAGATGGGCAGATTGTACATTTTTTTAATTACCTTACAACCATCGCAAGACAAAAGTCTTGCGATGGTTGTAAGGTGTATGGCCACCTTTAGGGTTGTCATCAACTGCAACCAATTCAACCCTTAATGATACAGCACTGTGATATCTTCACATGTTCTCCGTTTAATTTCACCCAACAACCTAATGGGGCACCTTCCACCCCAGGCCCTATAGCAACCGCCTGGGTTATGCCACTGAGTTCAGCTATTTTGCATGCATTTACTTAAATGGGACTGCTTCTTTACTATGGGTGAGCTTGATTACATGTAATTGTCTGAATTTGAAAGAGCATTTTGCAATTGCCTGTACAGCGGACCTCAGAGTGGGAGAGGGAGAAGCAGCATGAGGAGCCAATCAGCTATCATGCAGTGCTCATGTGCTAGCAAAGAGTGTGCTGAATTTGATAGGAGGAGAGAGCAATGTGACAAAGAGATGAGGTCATTAACAGGCTTCACTGGTCCAATCACAAGCTGGAGGAGGGACAAGACCTGTATCCATTCATTAAATGCAGCAGACAAAAATCAGGTGTCCTGCTGCCAGACAGGGCTGTGCTGTGTGGCAGAGAAGTGTAAATCTTAGGACTGGATCAAGGAATACAAATCCTTTGGCAGGTTCCTGTATATGAACTTTCAGCTTTAAAGGAGAACTATGAGCAAAGTGCTTATCCGCTTCAGCTGCGGCGTCTCAGTATACTGCGAGCAGCAGAGCTAGTTTGTGTCCTCCCGTTACCCTAAGGAGAACTATGGGGAAAAGCCTTAACCCCATAGTTCTCCTTTAATACTAACATTCTATTGCAGAGACGGTAAGACATTATTAATATAAAGAGGGATTACATGTATACGTAACACTGTGAAAAAATAAGTGTATACATTTTTTATTAGGGAGACATTAAATGGTTTCTTTTTAGCATCTGCCTTCAGATTATAGAAACAGCGACATCATCTCATAATGGTATTTTCGACAGATTGGATGCCTGGGGCAAACACTTGTGCCTAAAGGCCTTGTTCACACCAAGCGCGGAGCAGGTGCAGATCAGTTGCAGACCGGATCAAAACTGCGTCCAATGTATTCCAATGGTATTTTTTGTTCCAGTTCACATCGCAGCGTTCCGTTCCAGAGCAGGTCCAGAGCAGGTGAAAAAAACTGCAGCAGGCCCTATTTTACCTGCTCTGAATCTGCTCTGGATCTGCAAACGCATAAAAAACCCATGCAAATGCCTGAAACGCACTGAAAACCCATTTTAAACTTTAAAAAAAAAAAGTGTTTTTTTTTAATAGCCAAAAACGCATCTAAAAGACTGGCGTGCTTGTGCAGAAACCTGACCGGATCTGCTCTGCATTTGGTGTTAACAAGGCCTAAGGGCCTGTTCACATGATTTTCAGGTCCGGATCAGGTGCGGATCTGCAGACGGGGTGCTATGTGTTTTGCCGCATTTTGGCCACGTTTTGACGGCGTTTTTGATGCGCTCCAGTGGGGAGTGGGGCTGTCAGTATGTTAGCTGCAGTGCAGTGCGTGATGTCAGTGAGTGACGTGTTTTTGACGCGTTTTTACCACGTTTTGCATTTTCGGGCCGTTTCCTGACCGTACAAAATGTGACATGCAGTATTTTTCTGTCGTAACCTGAACAGACTGCGCACGCAAGAACTGTAGCCCATAAAACACATAGGGATACATTGGGATGCATTTTTAGTGCAGGAGCATACGGATCAGGTCAGCACAGAAAACGGACGTCGTGTGAACAGGCCCTAAGGCTTAAAATTGCTTGATTGCTGAAGATACCATGCTGGGGGATTCCTAACTTTGTCCGGAGGAAAGAGCTGCATAGTGTGTACCGAACTTTTAGACACTTTTTGGATTGTAAGCTCTCATGAGCAGGGCCCTCCAAGCCAGGGGCATAACTAGAAATCACAGGGCCCCATAGCAAAATTTTGTATGGGGCCCTGTGATTTCTAGTTACGCCCACCTGATAACCCAAACAGCCCACCTGAGAGTGACCCTGCAGAGCCCACCATAGAGTCTCTATGGTGGGCTCTGCAGGGTCTCAGGTGGGCTGGTCAAACCCTCTTACCTGTCAGCCCTGATCCTCTGTCTGCCAGTCCCAAGTGCTGTCACATTGACAGCAGGTAAATACCACTCCTAGAGCATGTTTTGTATTGTCACAGTAGTTCCAGCACAGTGCTGTGCTAGAACTCCTGTATTGGAGGCGACAGGGTCAATAAAGAGAACCTGTCACCTCCAATTGCTATCACACAGGGGATTGTTTTCTCCTGTGTTATAGCAAAAAAGTTAGGTGAAAAAAAATTGAAATTGATTCAAAGAAAACATTAAATGAATAAAAATAATATGAAATAATTAAATACAAAAATAAAAAGGTGATTAAAAAGTAAAAAATAATAAGAAACAAATTATTAAAAAATAAGACAATAATTATAAAAAATAAACAATAATAAGATTTAAAAAATTTAAAAAAGTAAATAAATAAAAATAGGAAGATATAATTAAATAAAAAGTGATAAAAAAGTTTAAAAAAATAAACAGTATTGCGGAACCTGGCCTTGGGGCGGCAGGGAGAGTAACTCCGGACCTGCATGTGGGCAGCACAGTGGCTTAGTGGCCTTGCAGCACCGGGGGTTCCCGGTTTGAATCCTGGCCAGAACATTATCTGCAAAGAGTTTGCATATTCTGCCTGTGCTTGGCTGGGTTTCTTCTGGGTACTCTGGTTTCCTACTACACTCCAAAGTCATGCTGAAGGTTAATTGGCCCTGTATGTGTGTGCAATAGGAACCTTCGATTGTAAGCTCCTTGAAGGCAAGGACTGATGTGAATGTGCACTGTGTAAAGTGCTGCGTAAATTAAAACATCAAATAAATATTGTTTGACTTGCATTTGGGCTTCTAGTGAGCATCACTGCACTGGTCACACCCCCTCTGTGATCTCTATACTCATAGCTCACCCAAGCTCCTCCTCCCTCCCATCAGCTAATAAAGCAACCACTCCCACCGCAAGCCTCATTTCAACTGTGTGGCAATCAGACAGAAAGATTATGTAAGCTTTAATAACTTGGGAAGAAATACATAATATAAAGTGGGGGGCGCCTTGGGATATTTCCCTCCAGCAGTTGTTTTAAGGGAGATGCTGCCCCACTTTAGAGGATCTCTCTAATGAAGCAAATTGTAAAAAGTGTTATTATGTCTGTAAACAGATGTTATCAGCGATAACGATCCTGGTGAGGATTCTCTACGTACTCTTCATGTTAACCTCTCTGGGATTCCTGCTGGAGAACAGGCAAGTTGTTAATTTGTTACCTTGCAGCTGCTTTATCTTACGCCTCCCTTTGATTATATGTATCTCTTTCACATCTCCGTGTAATTAGTTGTTCTTCTTATTAAATGATCTGCGCGTAGTAACCTTGTCTCTATCCTCAACGCCACCCAAATGAAACGTAGTATCGCTTTAGCGCATGATGCGGGGGGAGGGGGGGTAATTACACAGCGGGATTTTAGACATGTGAGAGAATAATTATGGTAGCAATTTGTGCTGATGGCAAAGCAATAATAATCAAATTACTTTTAAAGTATAGTAGAAATAATTAAAAAGTCCCGCCGGGGTTCCTCTTGGGTAACGCTGTTCCTCGTGACGTCAGCTCCCCTTTGAAAGGCTCCCTTAAGTGATAATTGCTTTGTGAAGTCGCTTCTGAACTTTGTACTCATGATTATTAAAAAAAAAAAAAAAAAAGTTCTTCCATATCTGGCCTAAAGTTTAGGCAGCCTTGATTAGATGACCACAGGTTACCAGATTTTCAAAATGAAATCCGGGGACACCCTATTGACCACACCCACTAGCAACCACACCCATGAAACCACAATTTTTAGTACGTCCTAAAAAACAATTGATCACAGACTTCTGGAAGAGGAAGAAGACATTGCAGATGTAAAGACAAAGTGCCCTGGGCACTATAAAGAGAGAAATAATGCGGCCACGGCGAATCATGTCTGCGGTCAAATTGTGATAACAGTGGGAGTGGCTGAAGATGCATGGTTAAAAAAAAACCCTGAGCCTACTCTACTATGGGTCAAGCATGTGTAACACACAGTGTGCAGGGATCAGGAGTGTATAATGCATGGACCTCGGGGGTCAAGATTGCATAACAAATGCAGGGGTTAGGAGAGTATGGAGCAGAGAGCAGGAATCAAGAGTATGTAATATACAGAGTGCAGAGGTCAGGAAAAGGTAACACATGGAATAAAGAGGTCAGGAGCAAGAAACAAATGGAGTACAGCGTTCATGAGTAGGTAATGTATGGGGTACAGGGGTCATGAGTAGGCAATGCATGGAGTACAGCGTTCATGAGTAGGTAATGTATGGGGTACAGGGGTCATGAGTAGGCAATGCATGGAGTACAGCGTTCATGAGTAGGTAATGTATGGGGTACAGGGGTCATGAGTAGGCAATGCATGGAGTACAGGGGACATCAGTAGGTACCGCATGAAGTACAAGGGACATCAGCAGGAATCACATGGAGTACAGGGGTCATGAGTAGGAGACAGTAGCAAGTAAAACAGAGTTCAGAACTCATTAGTAAGTAATGCAGGGTTCATTTGTCAGTAGTAAGTAACGCAGGGTTCAGGGGTCAGTAGTAAGTAACACAGGGTTCAGGGGTCACTAGTAAGTAACGCAAGGTTCAGGTGTCAGTAGTAGGTAACGCAGGGTTCAGGGGTCAGTAGTAAGTAACGCAGGTTTCATGAGTCAGTACTAAGTAACGCGGGGTTCAGGGGTCAGTAGTAAGTAACATGGGGTTCAGGAGTCAGTAGTAAGTGATGCAGAGTTAAGGGGTCTGTAGTAAGTAATGCAGGGTTCAGGGGTCAGTAGTAAGTAACGCAGGGTTCAGGGGTCACTAGTAAGTAACGCAGGGTTCAGTGGTCAGTAGTAAGTAACATGGGGTTCAGGGATCAGTAGTTAGTGATGCAGAGTTAAGGGGTCAGTAGTAAGTAATGCAGGGTTCAGGGGTCAGTAGTAGATGATGCAGAGTCTTTATGGAGTCTGTTTTGTCAATCTTTTCACCCGAGCCTCATACATCTTTAGAATTCCATTTGAAAAATGAGTGAAAGTTTTGTGAATCTTGGGTGAAACATTTGGTCCTCTCAATGTATCATTTTTTTGTTTATAATTTTTTGTGCTATTTTTTTTCTCTTATGTTTTAAGAAAATAAATGTTTTTGTTCATATTGCTCTATTTCTACAGACCATCAGCAGCCCCACTTGAAATGGTCCGCTGTTTTGCCTTTCTGGTGCTTCAGAAATACGGCTTCCTAACAACAGACATTCCTTCCCTGACAAGTATTTGTGAGGTAAATGATTTTACGTTTTCTTTATCGTTTTCCTCTTTCTGTGGAAGTGACCAAAGCCCAATGAGACCGTATAAATAATTTTTTTAATGAATGGCAACCAACCAGAGGCAATAACAGAGCACTTCTGCCGGATTTTAGTCCTCCTCATCAGCGAAAATCATGTGACCAATTCTTTGGAAAATAGTCAGGTGACCAGGGCCAGGAAGGAGGGGAATTCAGGAGAATAAACGAGTATGGTTATCCCAGAAATCCAGTGATCTCATCACTTTCTGTTTGGACTGACAACACACCCTTTTCTTCACTGAAGTCCCAATCTGTGCCATCAGTCCTGCCTGTTGCACAAAAGAACTGCAACCATCACCTCCTCCTACTGTCGCTCTTCACATGTATATATAGATTTTTTTTTCCCCAGACATGCTTCTATGTTTCCTGTTTCTCCCACTGCAGCTCCTATGATCCTTTATCCCAAGGGGTGAGTATATGCCCTCTTGGAACCTGAAAACCAGGCCATGAAGGACTACCTCGGGTAAAAGCTGCAGAAAGTGTCCATTCACCCTTTACCTTCTCCCGGTGGTGCAGGTTTCTTTTTCTTGGTGAAAAAGATGGAACTCTTGGGCCATGGTTGGATTATTGAGGTCTGAATCGTATTACCATTCCTAACCAATGCCCCCACCCCCTTTGATTACTGAGCTATTCAGTCATGTTCAGGGAGAACAGATTTTCTCCAAGCTCAGTCTCAGGGGGCATGCAACTTAGTCCAGATCCGTGAGGGGGAAGACACGCTGCAACACCAGAGTTGGGCACTATGAGTAATTTCCTTTAGTTTATGAATTGCCCCTGCTGTCTTCCAGTTATTTGTAAATTATATCAGGGCATGAAGAACTACTTTGGGCAAAACTTGCAAAAGGTGTCCATTCCTCCTTTACCTTTCCCGGTGGTGAAAAAGATGGAACTCTCAGGCCATGGTTGGATCATTGAGGTCTGCATCGTATTACCATTCATAACCAATGTCCACTTACTTTGATCACTGACCTATTCAGTCACATTTAGGGAGCTCAAATTTTCTTCAAGCTTGATCTCAGGGGGGCATAAATCTTAGTCTGGACGCTTCAGGGGGTTGAGTAGAAGACACCATTCAACACCAGAGAAGGGTTATGCCCTTTGGTTTACAAATTGCCCCTGCTGTTCCAGTTATTCATTAATTATATCTACCTAATTACCTGAGGATAAAGTTCTTGTTGTCTATCTGGATGACATTCTGATGTAATCCCTGTTGATGGTCATCATAAACATCATCATGTTGATGATGACATCAATATCATGTCAAAGCAGTTGACCAGGCTTTGAGAATATTCTCTCTACACCAAACTGGGGAAGCGTATTTGTCATGGCACCAAGATTTGTTTTTGGGTAGAGTGTCTCAGATGCTGGCTTAGCCATGGATCCCACTAAGGTCCAGGCCCTTTTGTAGTGGTCTCTGCCTTTGTCTCTGCCTTTAATTTGCCAATTTGTATTGAAAATGAATCCAAAGCTTTTCCACCATGAACTCTGGACTATCACTGAACTTAATAAGAAAGGCGCTAATCCTAAATTGTGGCCACGAGAAACTGTGCAAGCTTTCAAAGCCCTAAAGAAGACTTTCCCTTCAGCTCCTATTTTCAGGCATGGTACAGAAGCTGTTTTGTTGCAACCCACTTCCAATGGTAAATTGCATCCTTGTGTGACAAATGCCTGACAAACGGGATGTTATTGATTAAAAGAGAACTATGAGGTTAGTGCTTTTCACTCACCTCATAGTTCTAGCCGACCTGTGACAATGAGACTGTCACAGGTCAGCTCAGTAGATCAGGAGGTAAGCGAACACATGCCGGCGTTCGCTCACCTCTCGATCCTGTCACGGGTCTCTGCCGTGACAGGGGAGGGGCTGGATTCCCCCCTCCCTGCTCCGATCCGCCACCGCTGATTGGCGGAACGGACGGGGGAGGGGCCGGGTACAGTTGGCTCTGCCTTTAGATAGGCAGAGCCAGCTGTCAGTCACGCAGCTGGGCGGATCCCGGCACAATTGTCGCGATCCGCTTCAGCTGCGGCGTCTCAGTATACCGCGAGCAGACTTAACCCCATAGTTCTCCTTTAATGGTGTGCTGGCAACATATGTTATTCTCTATGCTGATTCTTGCTATAGCACCTGCCTACTCCAGGCTCTTCCCAGAAAGGAGTACCATGGGGATATAATGAGTGCCCATGGTGCCCTCCACTCCCTTGATGTCCTCAGGCTTCCAGGTCAAATGATGCACATCATTGAAACTGAAAGACTAAGCCCATCTAGTGGCCAAAAGGAATAACTGAAGGGGACAGCACCAGTGCTGCCTTCTGTCTGTCCATCACCTCCAACAACTTCCTGGATTCCCAGTGTGATTTGCGTCTCTTTCCCTGCTGCTTGATGTGATGAAATCTCCATTTCTCAAGGCTACATATCCCATCATGCATTGCTTCCAGCAAGCTATGATAATGTTACATTGTTCAGACGCTGAGGAATGTTGAGTAAGCGCATATTTATAGGGCCGAGGTGAAATGGTGTCAGTGCATTCATCCTTTGGGCATCTTCAATAAGTAAATTTACAAACTTCTAGATGGATTTGGTTATTAGGAGCGGAATGGAACTCATGGAAATTCAAGATAGAAATACACAAATTTATTTTTAATTTTTGACCTTTTAAGGAATAGGTCAGCTAGAACTATGAGGTGAGTGATAAGGACTCACCTCATAGTTCTCCTTTAATCTGAACGCTTGGGTTGCAGCCAGAGACAGCCAGGGAATGGGTGTTCTTGGACGGAGCAATGATAGCCCCAGTATTTCCATTCCTTTTACCTGAGTGAAGTGGAGTAATGTATCAATTCATCCTTCAAAGTAGAGTTCCCGTTTAAGAAAAAAATTAATAATCCTTGACACCCGACGGTCTTATTTGCTTCCCTAGACCACAAAGGGTCCTTCTGTTATAATCCCACACCCAATTCAGTCCGCTCCTACGCTGGTGTCTGTGCTTCATTCATTGTTCCTTCTTGAGGACGGCGTTAAAGTATCCTCCCCCCCACCCTTAAAAAAACGTGCATTAGTTGTGTGCTATTACTGCGGTGTTTGGCTGGATCTGACCCATTTCATCCCTCTATTTATGGCATGTTTATGCTCACTGAGCCTTTCCTAGAGCCTGCACCGGCTTTCCGCAGCCCAGATCTGCTCCAGATTCCTCTGGCACTTCATAAACTAGTCTAAACTCCACCGGAGCATTGTTAGGTGTTCCCCCGTCTTGCTTACCAGGTATAAGGATAGTGGTTTTCAAGATGGAGCTCGAAAAAGTTTATGAAGTGTCATGGAAATGCAGAGCAAGCCATAAAGGGAGGGGTTGTGGGGGGACCAATTGTTTTGAACCGTATGTGGAATAAATTTTGAGCTGAATTGGATAGGCCGGCCTGTTTTGAAAGAATTTTTCATCCAACTTTTTTTTTTTTTTCCTCCTGTTGTTTTTTTTTTTTTTTTTAAAAGAGTCAACCGCAGGATGCCTCTGAAAAAAAAAGAATCGGCGTAACATGAAATCAATATCGTGAGCCGGCTATTTATATACGCTGCTTTCGCCAAACAGGATGCCGCGTCCGACGGTCGGGGTTTTCTCGAACAGTTGTTCAGAAAATTGATGGGACGGGCGGAGAAATATAGGCATGGGCTACTAGGATTTACTGGTGCTGAAATAAAAAAGACAGGCCAATGGGTTTTTATGATGTTATCACGATTTATCGGGTGCTAATATATCCATGTAGGGTTGCCACCTGTCCAGGATTCACCCGAACAGTCCAGGTTTTGAATGCTTTGTCCGGGTTTCATGGCAGCAGAAACCCGGACACAAAATGTCAGGCAGACAGGGGCAAACAAAATTAAGATAGGGGCAACTGGCCCCCCACTGAAAATAGTCTAAACTGTGATATTTACATATAAATGAGTGGCGCTATTTACAAATGAATAAGCCATGACTCCCAAAAAAATGTCAGTGCGTCACTAGAGTGTTCGGGTTTCACTTGAAGAAAAGGTGGCAACCCTACAAGCAGGACTGAATGTAGAGTGAGGCAGCCGATTTTTCGTTTACATGTGAACTCGGCGATGTCGCCGAGTTCACATGTAAACAGTGTGCAGCCTCCCCCCTGCACTTACATCTCTCCTCTAGTTCCGTCCTCCACCGCCGAGTCTCTGACTGCAGTGAGCAGAGCGGCAGGGTTATAAGTGTATACAGTAGGCAGTGAGAGGGTAGAGCTGTGCTGTGCTCTTCCTCTCTCACCTGTCACAGGAGTTCAATGAGAGGTGAGTTCTTTGATCGATCAAAATAATTTTGATCGATCAAAGAAATTAACGATTAATCGACGGATTAATCGTTAATTTCTGCACCCCTAATATTTATACATATTTATCTATATATATCTATAGATATAGATACACTGTATATATAGATAAATATATATATATATATTGCTTCTGACCTGAATAAGAGAGGTTAACTCTCGAAAGCTTGTCTTTTATATATTTTGTTAGTCCAATAAGAAAGGTATCATTGCACACTGCAATACTGCGCTTTTATATATATATATATTGGATTCACCTACATTAAGTTTTTAGACTGAAACTGATATTTTTTAAAAAAAAACGGAAAAATTGTCAAGCTGAAACTGAATATTACTTTTTTTTCAACCTTTTTAAAAAAGTGTTTTAAATATTTTAAAATTATATTATTTTTATGCTTATTTATTTATAAGCAGAATCTTGATATGTTATTACCCAATAGAATGTTTGACTTTATCTGAATGTTTCCTGGTCCCTGTGGTGGGGCCCTGTTCATCCCTCTCCGTCAGCACCCATGGTTAAAAGGTGGATAGCAGTGATGCTGCCATTTTTAAAAGATTATTAGAGACAGCAGCCTAATCCTGAAGAAGGAGGCCTCCGTGAAACGTGTAGAGAG